CTTCGTCTATATAAATAGCAAGCCATCGACGACTTTGATTCACATAATTAGAAAACCACCGATAAATTTATCAATACAAATAGGAATCCATTAATGACTTCGATTCACATAATTGGGAAGTCACCAACAACTTCATCCATATAAATAGCAAGCCATTAACAACTTTGATTCACATAATTAGAAAGCTATCAATGACTTCATCCACATAAATTAAAAGCCATCATGACTTTGATTAACATAATTAAAAAGCCATAATGACTTCATCCATATAAATAGAAAGCCATCGATGATTTCGATTCACATAATTAAGAAGTCATCGATGATTTCGTCCATACAAATAAGAAACCACCGATGACTTTGATTCACATAATTAGAAACCATCAATAACTTCATTCATATAAATACAAAGTCATTGGCAACTTCGATTTACATAATTGAGAAGCCACTAATAACTTCATCCATATAAATATAAAACCATCGAAGACTTTAATTCACATAATTAGGAAGCCATTGTCTACTTCATTCATATAATTAGGAAGTTACCAATGACTTTATTCATACAAATGGAAAGCTACTAATAATTTCATCTGCACGGATAGGAAGCCATCGATAATTTTGATTCACATAATTAGGAAGCCACTTATGACTTTCTTCATATAATTAGGAAGTTTCTAACGACTTTATCCATACAAATGGAAAGCTATTGATAACTTTATTTACAAAAATGAAAAGCCACCGTTGACTTTGACTTAATTCAACATAAATGCAATGTTAACTTTCGAATTTAACCCTAGCAAGTTTATTAAGTTTACACACATCATAATTGGTAGATCATAAATGTGGTGTTAATTTAACTTAAAGAGTTAACTTTGACCGATTAAGCATGTTTATACACCGGATCACAAAAGTTAAACCACATAAACAAACATGACATGAACATCACGTTTAAATTAAATCACATTATAAAAGCAATATCATTCTCAAATGCACATTTTAAAACTAGCACTCGTCTCAAATAAACCATTGAAATTAAAGTCCATGTCAAGTCCTCTTAGCTCCATCGTAGAGTATTGAACACCACCTTATTTCACTTTAAGAGTACTTAATGTCTTTGACCTTTTCGAGTTTGATGCACATCAAGGCATCTAAATCACACTTTCAATGTCACATAATATTCTTTCATAACATATTCATTTATAATTTCAACTCCAATGTATTATTTCAATCTCAATGCATTTTGATTTTAATACAAAGTAAATGTATCGAGAACTTAACATGTTGGTCAAACAACTAATAAGCTTCTTAAAACATATCAAAAACACTTTTCAAATCAATGATAGATTTTGTTCTTCTTCAACTCGATGGAGACAATTTTTATTTTCAATCGAAAAGAGAGAAGGTTAGATAAATCAAACCTTTGTAAATAAAGAAGTTGCTACCATTAGAGATTAGAGGGACTATTGGCTAAGAATCACAACTTATACCATCGTAGACTGGAATAGTTATTGGTCGAGATCATTACCCAAAATGGTCGAGAGAGGGAAGAGGGTTTGGCCAAGGGCTAGACAATGCTAGGGCTATTGTAGTTTAGCCAAGAGCTAAAGGAGACCGAAGCTCGTAACTATTGCGGACTAGTGAAGTAGGACGAGTGGCTGGAAACAACAATAAGTGGCGACAGATCGGTTTGGACAAAAAGCGAAGGTTTTTTTCAAGAGGTGGAAGTGTTTTGATGTTATCTTTTGATGAGAGAAGGGGTAGGATTTGTTGTTATCTTATTGAAAAAAGGGGAAGGATTTGCTATTATCTTATTAAAAAAAAGGAAGAATTTGATGTTGTCTTATCGACAACTTGAAGAGGTTTTGAAATTTTTTATGTGCTTAGATTGTGATAGCCATGGATGATGAGTAGAAGGTTATTTTCATGGTTAATGATGGTGGTTGTGATGCGAGTTAGTGGAGAGAAAAGAAATGTAGTCCTATTGGCTTTTGGTTGGCTTGTAACAATTTTTGCTTAGTTTGATGTGTTTGCCTAAAAAATGGCTCGTATTTTTTTTTTTTTTGTAGTTAGCGAGAGATCATCTCCAGACACACCTTTTATCATTTAGATTTGGTTGTTTGTGTTTTTATATTTTACTAAGTTTAAGGCTCTTTTTCCTAGGAAGCAAGTTTGGTCATTACGAGTATGTAATCCATTATATCATACGAGTAAAACCACTAGGGATGCATCCGTTTGTTTTATGAACAATGTATTTATTGCCTCGTGAGTAGATTATATTTGGCGGAGTCGTTTTATTGAAGGTTAAGATGGCCTAGTTGAACACCTCTTTTTGTTTTTAAACAAATTTTCTTTTGGTAATATGCCATGAAGCCACATTTAAAAATATAGTGTAAAATATAATTTATTAAAAAGTGAGATGCAAAATATTTCTGCTCTCAAACTATAGGATGTTTAAAGTAATTTACCTGTGGAAATTAAAAAGTAGAGGAGAACAAAATGATACGCTTATAAATAATAATAAAATCGTCATTAGTTACTTAGGATTTTCCTATAGTAAGCATCATATTGGGGTATAACTCACTTTTTCTATCATTGTAAACATTTAAATGTTACCTAACTACGACAAATAAATGTGTTAATGTTAGGTTTTACATGGTTAAATTTGGTGCCGATTAAAACTCCAAAATTAGTCTACAATTTTAAGATATGCAAAATATGGAGATGTGTGTGTGTCTATATATATATATATATATATATAATAGGGGGCTTTTTTTTTATAATTTTTTGCATCAATCAAAACTAATTCTTCACTTTCTCGGACTAAATCAGCATCGAATTACGTCTATTCTTGGATCGATTTTAAAAATTGTACTTTTTAAGCCTACAAGTGTCAAAAGGTCAACTAAACTCAAATTTTCAAACTCATTTGTTATGCCTTAAAATTTATTTTATATTACTTTTTAACAAATTTCTCAAGTAAAAATTATCACTATTTTATCCTTATTATTTAATTTAAATTAAAAGAGAAAATAATGGTGGTAGGATTCAAACTCTTGACCGTATGGTTAACACAGCTTGTAATACCATATGAAAGAATCATCTCAATTCAAATGTTTCAAATGAGATCTAAAATATGATTTATATTATTCTCTAATAATTAACGAACTTCATGTATAGTGCTATATAAAGGAGAGGAAGAAGTTTTCCAAGAATGAGAATCAAACTCCAAACTCTTAAGCTAGTAAGTTAGAAATATTCTTCTTACCATTTCACCTAGTATATTTATCATATTCTATCCCACTAATAATTAATGTTTTGAATATAATAAATAGAATACTTAATCCTAACAACTAAGGTATTAAATTTCTTCCCATAACCCACACAATTGGCATGTTGATAAAACAAGCCACCTTTCAAAAAATTTATCGGAAAGAATAAAAAAAATGCTTTTATTACAATTAAATGAAGTTAATTAGAGCATTTGATAAGTATCTAATTGATGTAAGTTGTAACTATATTTTATATATAAATGCAGGTGGTTCTAGAACGAAAACAAGAATTACTTTTCCCCATTTTGGGAGATTCTTATAATGGTTAACACCTTCTTTTGAGGTTAGCTAGTAAGAAGGTTCAATATTTGCCGATAAAAGGCTTAAACTATGTACAAAGAAGGGTGGCTCTTGATAGTTTTCGGATAATTAGATTGGCACTTCCCGGTGTACTCGCTCATTGTCCTCAAAAGGATGTAAATGCTACCCATTTAGGATCTGCAATCATGGAGGTCCGTAGAATCTTCAAGCTATTATATACTATTTTCATGTTCGACTACAAATGTTGAATATTAATTAATTAATTAATCCAAAAACAATCAAACATAGATTTACTCGGTTGTATTATTTACTAGTGATAAGAAGCATATCGAATATTTTTGATTCGGTACACTAAAGAAAATATGATATAATATAGTCAAATCGATAAACGAGTGTACTATATCTATAAATAATCGAAGGACCAAAATTGGATCATCGGCATAACTTGGGGGCATAAGACTATTTATAGAGTAATTCATGTGCCTCTTTATGCTATCACAATTAATTATTCATTATTTGAAGCTAATCATATTATGTTAAACCATAGAAGCAATTAAAAAGGGTTAGTTTGAGTGGAAGAGGATGTAGTCATTTAATCAAATAGTTTCAAATTTATATATATAGCTATTTTTATCTTTTACGTTTAACGTAATAACGAGAGAATAGTTTGGACCTTCTAAATTTAGGATACCTTGAAAGATAAAAAAAAAAAAAAACTATAGAAGCATATTAAAATTAATACTAATGAATTCTCTCTCGTTGTTGTTTATTTATTTAAGCTAAGTAAAATCATTTAAATACCATGGAAAGCATCAACGATGTTATAACCCAAAATCTCTCATATTTTTAGTTATTTTATTTGTTCCTTATATTTTTATTTTATGTTACCTCATTTTAGAATTTACTACAAAAATACCAAAAAAATGGAAAAAGAATAAAAAATGCAAAAAAAAAAAAAAAAATTTAAAATGACTCACTCCTCTCAACCCTAGAAACCTCTTATAAAAGCAACATTTTTTATTCACTTTAAGGGTATATAAGGGCAAGCACAAGGGGGCACAAAAAAAGACAACCACAAAAGGGTCACAAAAGTGGACAATTTCGAGATTCTTTGAAAACCCTAAGAATGTAGTCTCTAAGAAAAATAAAAAGTCTAGGCGACCATCCTATCTTCCCTAAACAAGGTTGGCTACCATGGCTATTTCTCAGCCCCTCACAAAGCTCCAGTCGTGCTCTTTCTCCCTACCAAATAATCATCTCCATCAATCCCCTCTTTCCTTCATCTCACCCTCTCAACTCTTCAGTTTCTCTCTCAAAAACCCCAACATATTGAGCAATCCCCGTAGCATCTAAACACCCCCTTACAACCATTTCCAGTTGTCACAAACTCCCTACATTGAATAACCTTTCCTCCTAACCCAAGTTGCCTTTACCCCTTGCACGCAACAACCCATGTTGCCACGAGCCTCGAGTGAGCCCTTTGCAAGCACGAGCCATGCCTTGCAGCTTCCTTGCCCATATCATAGCCACCGACCTCACAACTATCATCCCCTCTGAAGATTCACAATCCCTCTCATAAAGTCAGCTACATGGTCTCTCTCCTTTATTACTCAAAGATCACCATAGCCATCAAGCTTTACCTAAGTTTCATTTACCATCACCAAACTCCAACCCGAAATGAAAAATCACACCCATTATCCACCATAACCGTCCTTCTCCACACTTGAAATGACCTCTCCAGCTCTCCTAGACAAAATCACAAACATTTAGTGGCCATTCTTCCTAGCACCTTAACCACAACCTATTTCCTCTCCATTTTCTTGACATCCAATAAGCCCCGTTAGCCACCTTCGCATCACCATAAACCCACCATTGTCGCCTTATTCATCCCCTAGCAGCCTATAACCTTATTCAACCCAAACCTACAAAACATTAGTCAAACCGTTAACCTATTTTCCTTTTCTCCCCTTTCAAATCAACACCTATGATAATCAATACCGAGTAGCCCCATCTCACGACCATAAACCTCCTTAAACCCATTAGTCTCTCTACCTCCGCTCACAATAACCTTATCTCCTCTCCTACAAAACATCCACCTCCACCCTCATTCCACACACTCATTTACAACAACCCAATAACTTTACCCTCCCACGTACCAAGACATAAACACCGGTGTGCAACACCACAAGGTCATCATAAAGGCATACTCCATAGCCATCCTCGCCCGTTCCAAACATACCGTCTATATAACCAAAAGCCTCCACAAACCCTTGACCCATCCTCTTTATCTTCAACAATCTCACCAAAGCCATCTCCTATCACCTCCTCTCTTCATAACTTTCCAACATGAAAACTCTTACCAAACAAAAATACACACTACCCATTGCCAAGCCAAGACACAAAACCAAAAACCTCACCCATCTCGTGGTTGATTTCTACCATCATCATCAATCGAATATAGCTCCTCCACTACCTTCTTCCCCCAAGTCGGCCTCAAATGCTCCCTCACCTTTTCCCACTCCACTCATCCTTCTAGTTATCTACCAAATGAGTATCCGTCTTTCTCATATGAGTTAATCGCTCAATTTGGACTAAAAAATTTGGGTTTGTTTAATGGGTTACGGAGGAATTTGAGGGTTTTGTACATTTTTCTTTATTGTTACAAGCAAGTTGCAAATAAACAAAAGGAGAGGTTAGAGAGGAAGTTGCACGAACTCGGTTGGTTTCATAAAACGAGAGAAGATGCTCCCCGATCTCGGTTAGTTTAAAAAAAAAAGAGGTAGAAAAGGAGAAGATGGAAGGTATTAAAGCTTTGTTAAAATTGGGGTCGGCTTAAGAAAATGTTACTACCGGAGGTTTGGTTTCTATTTAAAGAAAATGGGCAAAAGGTTGGGACACCCCTAATCCGTGGTGAATTTGAGCGAGCCGGGTTTCGCATGACCAAGACCGGGCCGAATTCAGCCTAGCCCGCATGGTCACAGCATTGGCTGGTTTCAGTCCAGCCTAAGCCCATAAAAAAAAAGATTTTGAGGGTAAAGGCCGGCTCGTCCAAGTAGGCGAACCCATCATTCAAGGCCCATTGTCCAATAATAAAAACACAAGGCATTAGTTTTATGTTCTATTTTGTGTATATTAATTCTGAATTTTTTTATGCATGTTATTTTATTTTATGTTTAATATACATTTAATTGTGAATTTGATTTATGTAATTAATATATTTTTGAATTTTATTTCAAAAATTAGAATAGGTGATTAATAAGTGTACAATGGTCAAGTCTCCTAATTTTTTATAGACCGATGATGATTCTCCATCGACAAAAATTAAAAAAAAAACAAAAAAACAAAAAAACAAAAACAAAAAAAATAAAGAAAAGAAAAGAAAGACTAATAGTTAATTCTTTTATTAGGATTTTGTATCAAAATTAGATTAATAGTTAGTAGATAGACAAATTATCGAGTCTCTTAAAGTCTTAGGTATTGATGACGATTTCTCTTTGAAGTGTCAATAATTAGTTTAGATAAACCAATAGGTGGGTGAATGGTCGAGTCTCCTAAATTTTTAAGGATTGATGACAATGTCACTTGAAATGTCAATATTTAGATTAATAGTTAATAAATAGAAGAATTGTCGAGTCTTCTAAATTTTTAGAGATTGATGACGATTTCTCATCGAATGATAAGTCACTAACATTTAAATTGGCTAAAAAAATTGGAGTTCAAATCGAAAATAACTTGTCACAAATAAAAGATTTAGGGAAATGAATTTAAGACTAAAATAGACGTAATACCATGCCGAGGAAAGTGCATTTTTAGGTGACCGTTGTCTTCCCAAAACGTAACAAACTCCTTATCCTAGAATCTCTCGCATCGTTGCTACTTTAGGTTCTTAGTTCCTTTAATATTACGTGGCGACTTCAAACACAATAATAATTTACCTCTTCGTAAATCTCTATAAATAAGATGCACATATCCGCAAATCTATGAAAACTTAGAATTTATTTTGGGAGTCCCGTCCAACGTCGTATAACGAAAAAGGAAAGAGAAAAGAAATAGCTACGAGATAAATTAAAATAATCACGCTGACTAGTCATATTGGTTCTTTTTTTTTTTTTTTTTGGATGGTCCCTCTACTAGTTATACCTCAGCATCTACTTCCATATTTTCGTTCCTTCCTTATACTTAAATTAAATAAGTAAATATTAATTAAATAAATTAATCTAGTTAGTCTGATGATTGAAAGGGGCGTATTCCCTAGTTAATCACCTAAGGTCAAATTTCAACTAGGCTATAAAATATTAAGTTCTCATCTATTTCTCATTTCTCACTGCATGAAAGCTCATAAGAGGAAACAGTTCACCATGAACCTAAAAGTAAAATAATAAGTGAACGGTTGGCCTTGTAATTTTTTTTTTTTTAGAACTGCGATATCAAATGAATTCAACAAAACAAATTTTAAACATACGAAAAGAGGATGTACAATGAAAATGATATTGTACACCCTTTTTCAAAACACTGTTTACACACGCAAATTGCTTGTTTTTAATATGTATTTTCATGATATGATGGATATTTTAGGTTTTTTATTCGATGATGTTCTATTCAGTCCCTCAAATTTATCTGTGTTACATTTTGATTTCTTTTAAAATTTAAAGAGTGGGGATTTTAGAAGAGAGAAAGTCATCTGTTTGACAATGCCATCTGGGATGAAAAAGAGATCGTTGGATTATACTTGATGAGTCAAGTTTATTAATTGTCTATTCGGGATAATTTTGATTTCAAAGTTTGATTGGATCTTGAGGGATTTCAAGGTAGTTCTAAATAGATTTTTAAGGTTTATAGAGACTATGGGGATAAGTATAAACTGGTTTTGGGAAAAAAAAAAAAAAAAAAGAGTTTTAAAAAAGTGATATAGTGGCGCAATCTTTTTACTGATTAGAGAGTCATGGAGAAGAGGACTGTAAACAATGCATCACCTGAGGAAGCGATGCGTTTTTTGCTTTCTCTTCCATGAAGCAGAACTGTTTGTTTTTCTTTTTTTTTTTTTTAAAAAAAATATTTTAACTTTTAAAATTCAAATAAAAAATAAAAAGAATTGTAACTCATAAAAATTTAATATATAAATGAGAAATGTTTTAGTCTTGATTTCAAGGAATCATTATTGGAACATTTTGTAAGAAAAAGTGTTTTCATTTATAAAATTTCAAATTAATTTTGATGTCAGCAGAAAACTTTTAAAAAAGAAAATACCAATGACTTCATACTTTGTTTAGTTAAATCGAGCCACATATATTAATTGACAATCACATTAATATATGTGATTTTGAAGAATAAAAATAAAAAGAATATTAAATTTTAATATTTGATTATCAATCAGTACATGCAATTAGATTTAAGTAGATGGAATACAGAGTGGTGGATGGTCCTAAACTATTAGATATATTTTCATACATCTTTGGATAAAATGTTGAATAATTTAATTTTTTTTCGATAAAATTATTGGAAATTTGATATAGAAATTCCTTTTAACAAGATTTCAAATGCATTTTTAATCAATTAATAAAAAAAATTATCAAATTTTTGGAACAGTAATGTTAGCAGAAAATTTTAATAGAAAATCTATGGAGCCATAAAACTTTGAGGGCTTCCCACCTTAAATTTAGAAATGAAATGCTTCATATGTTAAATTTTAGTGAATCCTTATTGAAATTTTCTTGGAGATAAAAGTTTCATTAATGAAGTTTCAAATTAATTCTTAATTTATTTATTTATCTAATTTTTTTGCACATGAATAACAAAATTTTCATTGAAAATTTATGATATCTTAGAAATTAATTCCAAGGTCAATAAAATCAACTTTTCTCCTTAAATTTTGAAATCAAATGCTCTAAATTTTATGTTTTTGATGATAATATTATTAATTTTTGTATGACATGCATAACTCAAACTTTATGAGGTGAAAATTTTTCGGAAATAACAAATTTCATCAAATTAAGCTAATTAATGATAGATTAACCTAAATTTTTGGAACAATAATGTTATTAAAAAATCCAATATTGGTCTAACATTTAATTGTAGTAAATTTGTATTTTAACACGAATTAATTAAAAAAATAATTAAAAGATGTTTTATAAATAAACCAGTAGCAGCGCCCAGGTTCTCTTGCTGAAACCGTTCCTGAAAATCTTTTTACGCATGGTTGATTTACGCTGCCGGTGTTGTGCCTGGTAGCTTCTTATTTTTTCTTGATTGCCTTTAATCATTCATGTGTGTCAGAAAAACTAGGCAAGCCATCTGACTCACACTGGTCATTGACGAAGATAAGTCTCATCCACCCAAAACCAGAAAAGCTATAATCATACCAATCAAATCATTTTATTTTTAAAATTTTTTATCCAGATCGTAACATTAGACCCCACTTCAAGGTCATCATGTTCTAAACGTGTTAATTGTTGCATCAAAAAAAGAAAAAAGGCAAGCCATCGAAGTTGATCAGGCAATTTATTTATTTTCAACTTGGTTAGGTGAGTAACTTGGGAAACATCTATTCGTCTGTCTGTAAATATGCTTAGCTATAATACTATATACATACCAACGAGAGTCGAGGCAAGCAGGCAACAAAGAAAAGCCCTTTGAATAAGCATCTAAAAGCTTCATTTCTTCTTCCATTTTTTGCTTTGTACTTTGCTGCAACAATGGCTTGCGACAAAGGTTTTTCGAGCAGTTATATGCTCTTGAAACCTGAAGAAGTGGCATTGTTTGATCTCATTAACGTCTTATTCTCCACTGACATTGAGAAAAGAAAGTTCGTTGACAGTGCAGAGTTGAAGGAGGAGAATTTTGACCGTCGATGGCTCATCTTCATCTCCGTTATAGTTCAAAAACTGCTGCAGTTTTTCTCCAAGCCCATGTCAATTATCGGGTCACTTATGGAGAAGTGGCTAAACCTTTTGTCTATCAACCGTGGCTTTGGCAGACTATTACTGAATACCATACACGGTTATAATCTCGAACTATATATATATATATATATATACACATACACATGCATATCTTTGCAATTGTTTTTATAAATAAGATTTATACGTACAGTACAATTTGTTTTTTCTTTTTCTTTCCTTTGGGGAGAAGGGGAGAGTTTCTGTCATATAAAATTACGAAAATTAACACTTCTTGGTTTGAAGGGTACTGTGTGTTAGAGGGAGAGATATGCAAAAGGAATGAATGGATCTCAAATTGTTATGAATGCAATTATCTAGTTTGTTTAGAACCAAATGAAATATGGGGCGGAGGAAGAATGGCCGGGCGTCTCTAGATTCAAGTACAATCCTTTCTATCTTTTACTTTTAGATGTTTACTGGTAGCAATTTTATGAATTAATCAACCTAGCTAAGAATCGTCAGGTAATTATTTAGTTTCTTATTTTTTAATTTTATTAATAATTTAGTTTTTTATTAGTTTTTGTTAGATTAATGATTTTTGTTTTTAAATTAATATTTTTTTTTTGGTTTTTGATTGAAAAGAGATAAATAAAGCATAAAAAATGATTTTTTTTAAAATATTAATCTAATAAAAAACTGATAAAATGATTAAAATTATTTACAAAATTAAAAAATTAAATTATTAGTTTTTAAAATAAAATAAAAGAAAAGTAATTATTTGCTTTATCGAAGCGAGTGGTAGTAATTTGTAATTCTCTCATGCATATATTCATGTTTCATATTCAGGTTTGCTAAAAAAAATAAATAAGAAGAAAAGATGTTAAGCTAACACGCTAGATGCTTGACGATTACTTATTTGCAAAAGAGCATTACAGAGGGGAACTTTATTCGACATTATGATGGATTTTGTTCCTAAATAAATCTTTAGTTTGATAGCATTATGATAACTAGACCTCCACCTCAGAAGTCTATTTACTTTATTTATTTTCTCATTACAGCTCAAAAGCATTTTAGTACTAGTGGAGGCAATTATTGTTCCACTATAGAATATCGGATTATATCAGAGTGAGGAAGATCTGTTTAGTCATTACTAACAGGACTTGGTTTGGTCGTCGGTACGTACAGTGGGGCCTCTAATTGGCTCTGTAATCCGACAGGTGGCAGAAAAATACACCAAATCCCTCGTGTAAATGTGCATACATAGGGCCATTTCCTCGTAGTTACTGGTGATCCAGCCCTGAATTATGAGTGTAGACACTTTTTATTATCAATCATGCTCCACTAGGGCCACTACTACGAGTTGTTGTGTGTGTTGGGGGGGTGGTGTCTTGAAAGAATTGATTGTTCATTTTAAATATTCTTAAATAATTTTTGTTTCGTCTGCCAATATTAAATGGAGTAGTTGGTTTATTGTGGTTTAGGGAAGGTGGTTATTCCGGAAAAAACATCAGCATCTTTCGTTTCTTTTACTGGAAATTACGACTTACGAACAGAATTGGACAGAAACATCAAACATGGAGATCCAAGGTACAATGCAGCCCTTTCTATGATGGCTTCTAAAGTATCCTACGAGAACAAAGAGTACCTCAAAACTATTGTCAAAGATCATTGGGAGGTACATTATTGTTTTGATTACATAAGAGTTATTAATAGTTTTTTGACTAATCATTAATTACCGCCCGTATGTCTATTATTATTATTATCATTAATACACAATTATTATTACTAAAACCACTGTAAATGTTATAATGCAGATGGAGTTATTAGGATCCTATGACTACTGGAACGGTAAGATGGAAAAATGGATCATAAATTTTTTTTTCGGTTTACAGATTTTAACATATAATTCCTTGGGTGCAGATTATCAAGATAAAGCCACAACACAAGCCTTCGTACTTCGTGACAAAACTGATGACCATGATACAGTTGTTTTGGCCTTTAGAGGTACTGAACCTTTTGATGCGGACGCTTGGTGCTCCGACTTTGATCTCTCTTGGTATGAAATTCCTAATGTTGGAAGGATCCATGGAGGATTTATGAAAGCTCTGGGATTGCAAAAGTGCATTGGTTGGCCTAAGGAAACAAAGCAAAATAGTTCACGTCCAGCGCCATTAGCTTACTATGCCCTTAGAGAAATGTTGAAAGACATTTTGTCAAAAAATAATCAAACAAAATATATTGTGACAGGTCACAGTTTAGGCGGGGCACTAGCAATTCTGTTTCCAGCAGTTTTGGCTTTCCATGATGAGATATTGTTGTTGGACAGGTTAGAAGGGATCTATACATTCGGGCAACCAAGAGTAGGAGACGAAAATTTCGGGAAATACATGACAAATATGTTAGAACAGAACACGATTCCATATTACAGGTTTGTTTACGGTTCTGATATAGTTCCTAGGTTGCCTTATGATGACAAGGCCCTTATGTTTAAGCACTTTGGGACGTGTCTCTACTACAATAGGCATTATGAAGTAAAGGTAATAGATCCATCTCATAATCCTAAAATTCACTTCACATTTTAAGTTACCTTTAAAATTTATAATGACCTGGATTAAATGCAGGTAGTTGCAGAAGAACCAAATAAGAATTACTTCTCTCTACGTGGGGCAATACCCATGATGGTAAATGCATTTTTTGAGTTAATAAGAAGCTTCACTATCTCGAGGACCAAGGGACGAGACTACAGAGAAGGATGGTTCTTGAGAGGGTTTAGGGTAATTGGATTGGCCCTTCCAGGCGTACCAGCTCATCTTATCCAAGATTATGTCAACTCTACTCGTTTGGGATCAGCCAATGTATTTCTGTCAGAACCCAAGAAGCAAGAGTAACCAAGTCGTTAATGTTCTGCAACCTTACTACAGGGATTGGATTGGAGTGTGTGTGTGTGTGTTTTGGTTTGTCAGTACAGGGAGGTCTAAATCTGATGGATGTGGGCGCAACTGCGTTATATATCCAAATCCTTGTTGTGATGTGAACCAAGTCCTTCTTGATAAGAAATCATGATGTTTGTTTTCTCTTTATTACAAGATGTGAAGATCGTGATGTGAACCAAGTCCTTGTTGCATTTAATTTTATAAGCATAGATCTTTCGCGTCTTCTTGTAAATTTATATCTTTGGAATGATTCATTTCATCTATTAACCTATTCTTCAATATCTCCTTCTCGAATAATTTTAAAGCATGACTTCTGTCTTAAAATTATTTTATTTAAAGCATACCATTCAAGAAACTTTAATGAATGTGGGATTATCATGTTATTTTTTTTCATTAAAGTTTTTATTTCTCAAAATAAATAAATCAATAAACATAAGAGAAAAAATAGAGTTTTTCATGCATCTATATACAAACTACCAGGAGTGCGCACACAATATGCCAATCTCAAAAACAACTCCTTTTTACCATTTTGGTGTAAATATAAGGATGAAATTAAAAGAAGTTATTTACAGCTTTTTGGTGTATCTCTCAACCACACACACACACATATATATATATGCGTGTGTGTGGTTGAGAGATACACCAAAAAGCTGTAAATAACTTCTTTTAATTTGGTCTCACACACATACAAATATATGGTTGAGAGATACACCAAAAAGTGATAAATAACTTCTTTTAATTTGGTCCTTATATTTTCCCAAATATTTTTCAGTCTTATTCCGTCAAGAAATGGTAAAAAGGATTTGTTTGTGACATTGGCATATTGTGTGTGCGCACTCCTGGTGGTTTACTTCTGGAGGATTACACGAAGAGCACCCAACAAATCAAGGACGTTGTCCAAAGGGTCATGAAATAACCTTCAAGGACAACCCTTAATGCGTGATTCTACTTTGTGATCCTTCTTTGCTTTTTCTATCTTGTTTTTTTTTTTTTTTTTTTTTTTTTTAAAAAAAAAAACCATAATCTAGTTTGTATTTTTTTCTAAAACTTTTATTAATATTTACTGGTTATCCAACATCAATTTTTAAAGTTTATGTCAAATGGATAATCGAGCCTTTGTAGCAACTCAAATAAAATCTAATTGCTCTCATATTTTCCTTTTAATAGTTTTAATTTTTGAAGATGCAAACAAAAACTTCAAGTGGTTTTGGATTTTTATAAAATTGCATTTGTTTAAAATGATCCAAACCAATTGAGGGTAATGAAAATTGTGCCCAAGCTTTATTTGTATGGAAAAATGCTAAGAAACTTTGTCGGAAAATATCAACAGTTTCAAGTCCAGAAACTGGAGCAAAAACTTTAAAAGAATCAACGTTTGGCTTTTGTTTGTAACCTTTTGCCACCAATGGCAATTTGAAACGATCAACCTCTCTATTAGGCATGTACCTTGTGTTGTATACCTATTTGACTTATACTGACTTTTTTATCTTAGGAAAGGACGGTAAGGTCCCAAGTTTTGTTCTTCTTAATGGTCTGAATTCTATTTCATTACACAAACCCAGTAATAATTAATTTCAACTTCTAGTATGATATGGATCACAATCAACAAATAAAGCAAAATACATTGCATTATCATCATCAGAAATGTCATTGTCATTCTCAAAACTATAATCGTGCTAGTGTGTAGACAAGCAATGTTGACATTGTGAAACAACCAGAGGACTCTCCATGGACAAGTGTTGAAAATGTGGAGTTTGATTCTCAAATGGTACATCATTGTAAGATTCATTTGGTAATGGTAAAGATTTTGTTTCTTCAAATGACCTATTATTGACTCCATCTTCGTCAAATTGTAACATCTTGACTTACCATCACCTGTTTTTGTTTTTATATTAAAAAAACTTGTAGTAATCTTTTTTCTCACGATTGTAACCATGGAAATATACTTTTATGATTTGTCATCAAATTTCTTCCTTAACTCATCAAAAACATGAGAATAACCAATGCAACATGGCACCTTGCGATGACTAATATACGGCTTGTGTTGACTCCAAACATCTTAAGGAGTTTTTTCACAAACCCTCTTTCCAGGGCACATGTTCAAAACGCTTCTAACTCCTACTGACTTTTTATCTTGAGAAAGAGCAGCAAGGTCTCAAGTTTTAATCTTCTGAATGGTCTAAATTTTTTCATTCATTACATGAACCCAACAATCATTAATAGCAGCTTTTGGTATGATATGTGATCACAATCGATAAATAAAGTGAAATACATTGTATGATCATTGTCATGATCCAAAATTTTCTCATTATTTTTTATTCCTTTTTATCCTCTTTTATTTGTTTCATTTGTCTCTTATTTTATTCTTATTTTATTTTGGAATTAAATACCAAAAAAAAAGGTAAAAAGAATAAAAAATACAAAAATAAAATAAAAATACAAAAAATCTAAAAATTGTATGGCATAATTAATTAGGGGCATGATTGAAAAAAATCAAGATTAAAATTAGAGAAATTGGGGGTACAATTGAAGCAATTGAAAATTTCAAGACTAAAATTACTCGGATACAAATATTTAATTGAAGAAACTAAATAGTATAGGGACTATAATGACATGTCCTAAGGGTATAATTGAAATAGAACCTAACTACGCAGTGGACCTAAATCAAAACAAGACACAGATGACGTAACCAATTCGGATCTTCCGAACAACCTATCTTACAATCTCTCATTTAGCGAATTCTAGCTTGTTTAATCGCGTACTTTACCATCTTTTTGGCTCGTTTATCTTCATCAATGAAGATAACATGCCAAAAAGGACAATGCCGCCAACTCAACATGTTAGAAGGGATAATGTTGCCAGCTCCTCTTTATACCGTAATTCCCGTTAGAGAATTACATTGTACATCCCTCTCATCATGTTGTACCTCCGCACATCGATCACACACAAAACCAACTTTACAACACACTAAGCATAAATTTTTTACTTTATTCAAGCAGTAACAAAAAAAAAAAAACAAGTAGGTAAGAAAGATTTGTTGGGTTGTGAGGGAGGCTAGAATTGATTCTAACATTGATCAAAAGGCTTTTAGGTATAAATAGAGGTTGCCTTTACTGGTTTAGATGAAGGAGGAATTGAGAGCTCAAAAAGAGAAGAAGAGGGAAATAGAGAAGAGGCAAGAAAGAATTCTAGCATGTTTAATCAACACACGACACAAATGATAGAACTAATTCGGATTATCCGAATGACCTATCGTCCAATCTCTCATTTAGCAAAATTTCTACTTTTTTAATTCTATACTCTACCACATTTTGGTTCTATTTATCTTCATCAATGAAGATAATATACCGTAAGGGATAATATTGCCATCTCTTTCTTGTACTATAATTCCTATTAGAGAATTAAAATGTACATCCCTCTCGTCATGCCGCACCTTTGTACATAGAGCACACACAAAACGCACTTTACAACAAACCAAGCATAAATGTTTGGCTTTATTCATGTAGAACCAAAACAAACAAGTAGGTAAGAAAGATTTATTGGGTCGTGAGGGAGGCTAGAATTGATTCCAACATTGATCAAGAGGATTTCAAGTATAAATAAAGGTTGCCTTTATGGTTTAGATGAAGGAGGAATTGAGAGCTCAAAAAGAGAAGGAGAGGGAGACAAGAGAAGAGGTAAGAGAGAAAGAGGACAAATTGAGAAATTTTGAGAAAGGCTTAGAGAGAAAAATTAAGGTTCTTAACTAGGTTTTTGAAGAAAGAAATTTTTAGGTTTTTGAAGGATAAACAAACTCTAGTGTTTTTCTTAGGTGAGATCATTGTGATTATTGGTTGCTTTTAGGTTCTTGAAAGAATAAATTCCCACCGGTCGATGTAAGAATTATCACTACCATCATCCATCCTCACCCAAGCTTCTCCAACCGAACATCCATGTAAGATTTTCCCTTTGATTGGTTTTCATTTACATCAATGTAGTCCGTAGCAACTACAACGTGAATGATAGAAATGATATTCATATTGCCATCCCACAAAATCCCCTTTTTAATTTCACTCATTGTTGCATTTGATTTTGTGAGAATAAAGGGCTTTGATGAATAAGGGTTATATTTTAGGGCTATTTGATCGATTATAGATTTAGGCTTAGGATTTAGGATTGAATCAAGATAAAATTTATGACATAAGACTCGGGTTGAGATAGATAAATCTTGGGGTTTGAGATCCATAAGAAGAAGACGAAATTAATTAAGGTTTAGGCTATTTTAATAGAAGAGACAAATTAAGGATTTGAATTTTGAAAGAAAAGAGGAGATTGTTTGAGCGAAAGGGAGAAGACAAACTAGATTTAGGGTTTTTGGTTTGAGACGGAAAGAAAAAATCAAAAGGAAAGGGCTTTTCTAGGCTAAGGTTTAAGGTTATCCGGGTTAAGGCTTAGTGGTTCTCTATCAATTTCGAATGAAGGATAAATTCATCAATCTCAATCAAAGTTCATTAAAGATGCACTCGGGTTTACAAAGGAAGATGGAAGGTCGACCAATCTAGTTAACGTGAAGCTTAGAGATGAAGATGGAGAGAGTGGAAGAACTAGGTTTGCAGGCGTAATGAGAAAGTCGAGATAGAGGAGAAGATGACAAAAGAGATGAAAAAATGTTGATTGATGAATTTAGGGGCCAAAAGAACTAGGTTTTGATTGATTTTAATTTAGGGGGAGGATAAAAAATGTTAGAGGGAGCCGTGTATTATATCCACCTGTGCCTAAAAGAAAAGGAAAGGTTGGCCTAGCCTAATGGGCCCAAAAGGCCCAATAATCCTATTTTTAACCTTCTCTTAGGTAAATCAGTCTTGATTTTTTCTTAAATGCATATATATATTTTTTTAATTTCATACATAATTCAGGTTCAACATTTTGAATTTTCATAGTGTGTTTATCTAATTATTCCAAAAAAAGTTTACTTT